ACTAAACCATAAATAGGTACTTTTGAAACGTCAAAATAGAGAAGTAGTCTGTCAGTCTGTTCGTCAGTGAAGCTAGGTGCTCATTCTAAATTGTAGATTCGAATGGAGAAGAACGAGCAAGAAACTCCATCGACGCTCTTATTAAAAAAAATGTATCTTTTACAATTTCACTAATATAACATTTAGTATACATCATTGTACCCTGATGTGTGAACAATGCAGAGACGAGTTGTAAAAAAAAAGAGCAAATGATGGGATCTATCATTAAATTTTAATTCTTTGTCGTCTCGAACATGGCGGTCACATATGCGTACTCACAATCTTTAAGAGTGCTTCTATATAAACTCTCTGGATATATAAGTTAAGGATTCATTCATTTTGAGAATTTAAGTAACTGTAAAGTGACTATATTTGAGTTTTGTCCAGTGGAGCCGAATCAACACGCTGCCAGGCATTCTTATCCTCAATATAATCTGAAAGTTTGTAGTATGCCTGTCTACACAATTCGCGTTTAATATAAGTTTTAAATTTTCGTTCGTTTAGATTCAATACACTACTTGAAATTTTAGTGTAACAATTTACACAGAACCCCGTAAAGGATTTCTGTACTTTGGACAGACGGAATCGTGGCACAGCCAGCCTATCTTTGCCTCTAGTTTTAAAATTGTGTCTATCGCTTCTTTTTTCAAAACATTGCAATTTTTTCCTCACGTGCTTAATATTTTCATATATGTATAAACTGACAAGGCACCGTTAGGATATTTATCGTTTTAAATAGTTCTCTCAGAGATTCGCGACGGGGCAAGTTATATATCGCTTGGTTAGCCCACTTTTGTAGAATAAATATTGATTTTACTTCCGCAGCTCGACCCCACAGCAAAATTCCGTACGACATAATGCTGTGAAAATAGCTAAAATAGACAAGCCTTGCTGTGTTCACGTCTGTGAGCTGTCTTATCTGTCTAACTGCAAAAACAGCAGAGCTTAGTCTCCCCGGAAGCGTCTTTATGTGGGAGCCCCATGGAAGTTTACTGTCTAGTGTGATTATGAGTATATGCCTGTGCTGAGGGCTGAGTGAGTTGAGGAGTGCAAGAATAAAGCTGGATCTAACTAAACTAAAACTAACATAGAACACCTACAACCGTACAAAATTTAATCCATTCTTAGTTCTCAGTCTATTTTTTATTATGTTCTTTGCCATGACTTAAGATTTTTTCTTGCATACCATCATCGGCTTGTTAGGTCAAGAAAGGTTGTAGCTAAGTATCTGGCACAAGTATGAAGTGTTGAAAGCTGGCAGCGCATTCCTGCCATTGATGGTAAGCTCGACGCTCGACCCGCTGCTGCAGCTGCTGTAGCATCATCTGTGATCTGTCCGACACCCAAGCCCTTGCTGACGTTATAGCGTACCGCAGAAGTCGTTTGAGTTAAGTTATTGAACTCAATGAATACAGTGAAACAGCACAACAGGGAACCTGCCATTCTGTTTCTTTGAAATTTAAAAATTCAAGGAAACACATGGGAATTAAAAAAGATGTTATACATGATGATATTTTACATATAATGTTGACGTGTAAAGTGCTGTTTTATGGCCTATTTACAAAAATAAATTCATTTTTCATTGCCAGATAGCTCGCTACCTCTCACTTGACTTGTAGGCATTCCTGATGTCATCATCATCATGATGGCTTCATTATTTTGGTGCGGTACGCGGTAGTGCATACCAATTACCTATTTACATAAATATTCGGACAGGCAGAATGTTTTGGGTAGATTTCTGATACCTAAATATTATTGTTGATTAAATTTTTTGGAAAATCGACTTTCCTTTATGTTAGTAGGTAGTAATGTCGTGCTTTCGCTATTGTGATGAGTTCGGTATTGTTATACTCATATTATTTGTTTTATAAGTATTAGCTACTTGCTCACTTACTCCAGTAACTCTGGCAGAATCTCACTTCATCGTACGTGTCTACCTTCCACATTACGCTTGTTCCAATATTGTATTTCGTCTGCGAGTCTTATGAACAAAATTTTATACCTTTTCGTATAAGACTCACTATTCTCAGCTGCTCCAATGAGTACCTACTGCACAAAAAACCATTCCGTAGAATTATGTACCTACGGACCAACGAACTGATTCGGTGGGGTTTTTAAAGTGATTTTCTAGTAAGGAATAGGTACCTACGTACGAGTGTAGCCAACTGTCAACTTTAACTTCAAGTCTTCGTTAACCGATGCCTGCGTCGCATTCTCGGAATTTACTGGCCCGAGATAATCTCCAACATAGAGATTTTGGAGAAATGCCACGAAAGCCCAATCGACCGACATATCAAGCGCCCCAAGTGGGGATGGATAGGGCACACGCTCCGAAGGGGTCCTGGCCACATACCCAAGCAAGCCTTGGATTGGAATCCCCAAGGGAAAATAAGGACGAGCATCGGTATGACGTGGAGTGAGGTGAAGCGTGAAGCTCAAGACAGATCGCGATGGAGAACTTCAGTGGACGCCCTCTGCCCCATCTAGGGGACACAGGATATCAAGTCAAGTACGAGTGTAGCAAAGAGGATCGTCATTGGAGTGTAGGTACGGTGTAGCTGCACTGTAGATCATAGCGCCCCACGTCGTCTCGGGACCTTCAGAAAACTGGATGTGTAGGTAAGTTCGGATCGTATAACTTCTTATAGATCTAAGACCACAGCTGTAACGAATGTTCTAGTATACAGCGTGTGGGCAGCTACTGCAGGGTGCGGCAGCCGGTTCCACATATCAGCATGACGCTCAGTAATTGCATTTATCAAGCGTTACAAATTCACCTATTTTTGTTTTCATTTAAAAAAAACATTAATTAGATTTTTCAGTAATTAAGATTCAAACACCGAGATAAGAGATAAATACCGAAGACGTATGATACCGGCTGAAGCCATTGTGGTGCACTGCGTCAGTCAGTAGCGGCCCTGAGAGATTACACCAACGTTGATTACACCCTGTCATTGTTTTTATATATGCGATAGGTCGCCAAACGGGCAGGCTAATGGCAGCACTTGATGGTAAACAACTAGCGCTGCCCATGGATAGCCGACACGGGCTCCGGCCCTCAGGAGCCCCTGGTTAAGCACAAAAAAAAATGATTTTGTAATGAATATAAAAGATCACGCTAAAAACAGAAACACGAGACCACCCAGAGGACACGGTAGAGCATACGGTGGCGGTGTGCCCTGCTTGGGCTGACCACCGCCGTGTCCGCCCGGGCTTAGTCGAGGCCATGGTTCGTAGCGAGAGGAACTGGGAAGGCGTCTCCTCATTCTACGAAGAAGTGATGCTCGCAAAGGAGGAGGTGAGGCGCCTGAGGAAACTATCCTTCTCACGCCCCAGCCGCCGCAGTAGGTGACATTCCGGACGTCGGGGATCGAGTGACGATCTCCGGCCACCGTAAGCGTGGGTCTGCGGGCGGCAAGTAAGGGTTGCTCGCCGCCTGACCAGATCCAGGCCCTAGCGGACGGCGCGTAGCCTTCCGCGCGTGCCTCAGAGTCCTAGTAAGAGTCTGACACTCTCTCTCGACTTACCCTGGGTGGGAGAGGTCATTTGATATTGATGTATATCATGTGCCTGTTATAAAAAAAATATCACCCAAATAGAAAATAATATTGGTAAAAATCCCAAACTCTTATGGAATTATGTTAAGAATAAGTGTGAGAGAAATCTGTCACTGCCTGGAATTATGTATTCTGGCGCTGTTTGAGGATAATGGTCCTGTTGTAGCAAATCTTTTTGCAAGTCCCTTCTCATCCGTTTACTCTACCTCTTCTAATCTAGCGTGGGGCATTCATCATCAAGCATAAATTTTTCATCAAGTTCTGAATAAGATCATCAAGAGATTTGGCACTTTGAAGCCGGGGGTTCGGATATGATACCTCCCCTATATTTGTCAAACGTTGCGGAAAATATCTCACCTTGCCACTCTGCTTCATCTTCAATAGTTTTTTGACGAGGGGCTTTTTCCGGACAAATGCAAGTTTAAGTTATCCAGATAGACTGCTATTTAATGTTCAGCCATTAGAAACAAGGCGCATATTTTTCGACTTAGTTTTTCTTTATAAAATTACCCACTCTATTATAGATTCCCTTGAATTACTCTCACACATAAGTTTAGTGCCCGTAGATCAAACGAAATTAATCTCTTCGCTTTACAAATTCACAAAAACAATATATTATTATATTTCTATAACCCTTTGACCAGGATGGCTCGCCAATATAATGAAATGGCAAAGAACAATCACAAACTTTTTGACAATTTTAATTACAGCATTAATAAGGTCATCTCAGATATAAAAGGCATCCTCCATTGTCGATTTTGATTTGGTATCGATTCTTCAGGCCCGGGAAACTGTGCCTGAAGGATCTTAATGAACCCATATTGTTGTTGAGAGGCAACAGTGTTGACACACGTTACTTTATGTTTTCTTGTTTCTACGTCTTGTTTCTTTTTGTCCCTTTTTGAGCTTTTTTAATATTTTATACTTGTGATTTTGCAGTATGCACATATTGTTACGTTACTATCTAGATCACCTTTAGTTTTTAAGCTAATAATATTTGATTGTAATGTGTATTGTGCATGAAATAAATAAATAAAATTAAAAAAAACTCGAATCGCACCTGTATATAAAAAGGTGAGCAGAATAATGTGAAAAACTACTGCCTCTATTTCAATTCTGTCTTATTTTTTCAAGCTGTATGAGTCCGTGGTATGTCCTGTCTTTACAAAATACATGTATAGCATCATCACACCTGCCCAACACGGGTATATTACCGGTCGCTCCGTTCAAACCAACCAAGTATCTATTGTGTCGGATCTGTCTGAGGGCATTGACAAGGGTATACAAATTGATGATACATAGACTTATCTAGTGGTTTTGACAAAGTGGATCATTCCTTTTGTTGAGTAATCTTGAGACCCGTGGTATATTGACTTTTGACTTTTGACTTTTGACTTTGACTTTTGAATCATAAATATACTTTTCCAAAACTGGGGTGCCGCAGGGCTCTCATCGGACGCTTAGTCACTGTTTTTATCTATGACATCACAACCAAACAAAGCACACAAAATTTTTCCTATACGCCAGTTAACTTTCAGTCCTGTCACGACTCTGCAGTGCAACAACTCTTTGTGCGGGAGCTCAGACAATTTAGATATTTTCACGATCCCCACAACAACTTGAAGCGCAAATTGGTTTTAAGTGTTAAACCGATGTCACAATTATTTTATGTCTCACGATAGCTTCTACTTGATCTCAATAATAACAAATATATTTAAATTTTAATTAGGATTAATATCTTGTGTTTCCGATACTTATTTTCATTAAGTTTTCGTGGCCTTTATTTGTATCTTTATCTTGTTTCACATTAGGTATTTTTGTTGTTTTTTTTATTTTAATTTTATTTGTATCCGTTTCACTTCGTCCATTTTTGTTTCCATTGCATTTTTTCTTAGTTTTATGTTTATGTTAATATACAGTGAATGTTGTGTACATCTATTTAAAGATATACATACAAGATCTCTGTCTCGGTCATAAAATGAAATAAAATTAATTTTTAAGGTATATTGTTAATGTACCTTATTGAATTAATTAAAATATTAGAATACAAAACAGTCTATTGGTTTACTGGCCCAGGGGATTGCCGAGCCACGGGTAGACGCGCGGACACACGTTGCACGATTCAAATTCGTATTCTCTCTGAAACAAAATTTTACAATTAATTAATATTTCCGTTGTGGGATTTTTAAGAGAAAACGTATACCAATGAATATTGTCCACGTGAATCGGTGTTATAATACTCACTCCGTCGTAGCTGGAGATGACCTCGCACTGGGAAGGCACACACGTGGTAGGTATGAACTGGCGACAAGCTTGTGTCCTGTACTGGCTGATAGGGACCGGGTTCTTCACCCACTCGATGACTTCGTCACTGGTCACCTGTCAAACAGCAAATATTATTTACCACTGCTTCGTCAGCGACAACACCATGTTGAATCGCACGCATGGTTTCAATACCCCGAAGGTAGGTCGTGTATGAAACTGTTTCAAGTTTAGCTAAGTTACCAGGAAGACGTCGTCCAGGTTATTTATAACATCCAGGAACCGCTCGAGTGCGCTTAGCACTTGCGGGAACGGGTAGATAACGCCCTCAAGGAGGGACACGCCGAAGGGAGCTCGGTTACCGAAGTAGTGTCTCTCGAAGTTGTTTAGGATGAACTGGAACCATAACGTCTCATTGAAGAGGTCGGGCCTGCAAAATAACACCTTTGGTAACGTTGTGATGGTGACAGAGGTCAAGATCAGCTGGCGAGTAGTTTTGGTTATTGATAAAATAAAACAATGAATTTATTTTTGTAAATATGCCATAAAACGGCACTTTTACAGTTCAATTTATATGTGAAAAAGTAGACGAAGCCGGCATTTCCTATCTGACTACTCTGAGAATAAATGCCGAAACAAACTCAGAGATCAGTCTCTTTTCAAGTCCAGACAAATTCAAATAACATAGTGCACGTGGAAGTTCATTCTGTAATGGTCTTTTCAGGAAAGAACCACACCAGTTTAAGTGGACCCGTTCTGAAGACAGGCACGCAAGTGTCAGTTTGCAACCAGTATAGCTAGTGCTGCTGAGTTGTCTGACGAACAATACCGATCTAAAGATAATTGGGTGGGTCGCGCAAGAACTCAAACACACTAATAATAATAGAAAATAATAAAAATGTCAATGAATAAATAAAAAAATGTGAAATGAAAAATTAAAAATGTCACAATAGGTGATAAAGAAATTAAACGTTATCTCAAATGGTATATAAAAAGTGCAACTTTTTTAACTTTAGTTACAAACATGTCAACATGACCTGTGCAGTCGTTACAGCGGCTCATTCCCAAGCCTGACTGTGTTCTAAGAAGTCTTTTATTTTATAAAATGCTTTACAGTAAAGTTTAGCCTTTATTAGGTACACTTTTAAATTTATTGAGGCTCAAATTTTGCATATCGCTTGGAATTTTATTGTAAAAGCGTAAAAGTACATTGACACCTAAACGAACTACTTATTTTCTGAAGCCTGGAGGCAGGGACAACATATTTGTTTTCCCCTTCGTGTTAATATTATGTATATGACTATACTTCTTAAATAAGCTTTTGTTTTTATGATCGTGAATTACATAAATTTGAAATTAAAAGTTCCGGTAATGTTTATCAGACATAATCGATCGGAGATCGAAAGTCGGTGATTACGACAAAATTAAAAAGCCAGCACTTAAAATGTGAACAACATAATCAAAAGTTTTCGTTGCGTATAGTGGCTTGCCTGATGGTTAATTTAGCGAGTTTTGTGGCAGCATTGACGATAATAACAAAACTTACGAATTAATAGCAAAGCACTCGTGTACCAACGAGCAAGGTTTGCCGTCAAGGTCGACCCAAGGAATGATGGGATTTACCCACACTCCCGGGATAGAAGCGTTGGGGCATGGAGGAGCGAGGCAGTCCTGCGTGGACTGGTAGTCCAGGGTGTAGGGCCACATAGCAGGGCTGGTGTACGCGTTGGTAGCCCAACTGTTGTCGTATTTGAGCCCATAGTCGGACATCACCCTGAAGCTGTTATCTCCAGACAGCTGGAGGAACGGCACCCGCATGCCTGGAATTTGTTTTTATACCTTAACTAAAATAATGAAGCAATTCCTCATTTTTTAATTCCGCCAACTAAATATTAGTAGAAATATTTAGTTTAATATCCGAAGCGACCTTAAGCAATATAACTAGACACATTAAAATACAGTGTGTTTACATGCATTAAGGGTAAGAGTTACCGGTGATAGAGTCGAAGGGAATGTTTGCGAAGTGCGACATCTGCACTCTCTGGTCAGCGAACTCCTGTTTGATGACGTCATAGGTGGCATCGCGCCAGTAAGTGGACGGGTTCATGTGGGTCATGGAGTGCAGCGCCACCTCGTGGCCGCGGTTGTAGAGCTCGTTCACGAACACATAGTTGGTGTAGGGGTGGCTCACGAAGAAGGTGGCACTGGCCGCGCAGCCGTTAGAGTTGCGTCGGTTGTACAGGACGCGCCGGTACGTCACTATGTTCTCCTCGTGCACGCTGTCCTCGAACGTCAGCACAACAAACTAGAGCAGAAAATAAATAATGTAGCAGACACAGGCGCGCCATTATCAAGGTCTCGGCATTCGGGCAAACGGGATCAAAATGTCAAGTAGCTGTAAAGGAGACAACATGGTGTAACACAGACTAGCTGAAACCATAAGTTTTTTAGTGGAAATTTCCAATTAGCTCAATTTGACGTCATAACATATTACGTAAAGATATCATATAACAAAGATATATGAATCAACACTGATTTCATAATCTTGCAGCTAATTATAGGCATCCAATTTAATTATACTTCATTATACTGATAATAAAGCGGATTAACAATAATTGACAAGTATTGATAGCATCGGCAACGTTGTGACCGTAGCATAGAGGAGAAATCCCGGTTGTTTCCTTCATGGACTGTAGCTAGCGAATGACGAGCAGCGAGCGCACGGACTGCTTGACAATACGCGACGCACTTATATTGGTGTGCGTCGAAAGCACAACTGTAGGTACCGTACGTAATGCTTCTTTAAATATGCACAGACGGGGTGCACCGCACATTAGGCTGCGGCCTAGGGCAGGAGAAGGAGCTGGGAGTTTTTAGTCAGTAAGAATCTGACTCTACCTCTCACCGCACTTGGCATTGCGTGGTGTCTGAGTTCAAACCCACGGTAGTGTAGCTTTTGTTGCGGGGTAAGCGCAAATATGGCACCGCGACATTGGCCTAGAGCAGGAGAAGGGACGGGGGAGTTTTGTCAGTAAGAGTCTGAAACTCCCTCCCGCTTTACCCTGGGCGGAGAAGTCAGAAGAAGAAGTCAACCTACCCAAAAAATTCGCACTCTGGGCGAGAAAAGTGTGGAGGGTTACTGATTAGACTGGGCCGCAAACCTGGCTGAACTAAAACAAAACTACGCTAAACAATTTCCGAGGACCATCTGTATGCATCTTGGGCTGCCACGCGCCGTCAGTTTCCACTTTATTGTATACCTACTAGACGTGTTCTAATTACATTTATTTTCGTTAATCGTAGGTACTGCTAAACCTACAATATTATGTTCCATGTACATTTTCAACGTATTCTGACTGATGATGATGTTTAAGCAGTGGTCATATTACAAGTATCCTGGCACAACTAATGATTATTTAAAACGTCACTATAATAACAATCTATTACGGTATAGGTCGGCGAACAAGCTTATCTGGTGTTAACCAATCGGCGCCGCCCATGGACACTCATAGTACCAAAGGAGTTGCAAATGTGTTGTCGGGCTTTTGGAAGTTCTATGGGATTTATGGATAGCGAATTTGGGATTAGAGATTAGGGAGGGAGGGGGAAGGAATAGGCCTCACACACACGGTGAAACACAATATAAGCGTTCTTACACGCTGGTATTCTGGGAGGCCATGGTATACCTTGGTCGAGCCGGCCCGAAATTCTGCCGAACCATGGCTCTCCCACATTTATATTTTGAAACCATGTTTACTATGAGTAGTGTTACCAAACTGTCAACAGACGAACGAAGCCGAAACGGTCCAAGTATTATGACACGGACAACTATGAAGATGTCCACGAGTGGTTGTGTTTCTCACCTGCGGGGTGTCCCGTGGAGTGAGTCCCCCCGGGATGTCGGTGCCGGAACACCTGCAGTTCGGCAGCTTGCAAGCCTCGCGGTCGCAGGGCTCAGCCGCGGCTGGTACTTCGGAGGAGGAGTCCTCCGCAAGCGTCGCAGAGGACACGAGCAGCAGAGCGAGCAGTGCGAGGCGCTTCATTGCGGCGAGCAGCGAGCGGCGTGTGAGTGACCCGGGAGTGATGTCCGCCAGTTTATTCAGCGGTCATTATATAGAGTGCGATGTTATCTACAGCTTTGTATCAATCAATGCTTTTCGATACACTTCTTTTATCTTATCTTGATGCCGAGCTGCCCACACAGCCACAAGTGCAACTACAGACCTTCCCGTCTCGGGTTCCATTGTTAAATTCTCAATAAGTAATTAGTAAAATACGAGCTTGTTATTGATGGTTGCGACATCTTCAGCTCCGAATCATTTCGGCGTACAAGCGTAACACCTTCTCAGTCTGGAGCGAAACATCAAATTACCCGTCACAGTGTATCGCTGCATTGTCGTGTTGACCTGTGGGCGTCCTCTACTTGTAGGAGTTTGCTATAATTCAACGCTTGCTATAATTCAAAACTAAAAACACTGAACACTGTTTATAAGGTTCAAGTTTCTCTGAACGACTGACGAGTTTATGTGTTAAACTTTAAACAAAACTTCAAGTGCGGAGGGTTTAATTAAGTACCATCTATTTTTTAATAACGACTTTGTCACGTGCGTACCTCGTTCAGACTCAGTTGTGTCTTGAAACTAGTAGAAACTTGCACCTTTTTTTGTTTTTATTAACATTGCCCCGCACTAGGATCCTCTCCTGTATCGTAGGTGCATTTACAAATATACAATTTCACAAACAGATGGCACCCAGATCCGGAACCTGCTGAGTGAGTTGAGGAGTTACTGGGAGTGCAAGAATAAAAAGCTGGATCTGAACACGTCCCAACACCTACAACCGTACAAAATTTAATCAATTCTTAGTTCTCAGACTTAAGTTTGTGGTTCCATTTTAAGACCATACCATCATCGGCTTGTTAGGTCAAGAAAGGATGTAGCTAAGTATCTGGCACAAGTATGAAGTGTTGGAAGCTGGCAGCGCATTCCTGCCATTGATGGTAAGCTCGACCGCTCGACCCGCTGCTGCAGCTGCTGTAGCATCATCCGTGATCTGTCCGACACCCAAGCCCTCGCTGACGTTATAGCGTACCGCAGAAGTCGTTTGAGTTGAGTTATTGAACTCAATGAATACAGTGGAACAGCATCACAGGTAACCTGCCATTCTGTTTGGTTGAAATTTAAAAACTTACGTAAATACACGAAACCCCTCTCTGAGGATTGATTTGAGAGACGCCACAGCGTCCTCACCTTTCCGAGGACGGACGCAGGTGCTTACCAGGCACGACAGCTTCGGTAGGTTCCTGGTTCGGATCCGGCAAGGGAACCCCGAGTGTCGTCATTGAGGAACAGGGACTTTTAAGTCAGTAAGAGTCTGACACACAAACAATTGATGATTTTCTTCACTGATGTCGTCGCTTCTTATTTTGGAAAAACCAATACCGGACGCGGTTGCGCATACCAATTACTCGATCGACTATCCTCTATCCTCTATTCTCCTGGTAGCTAGTGATGACAAAGTACAACTATGACTATCTGTAATATGTTCATTATGGTAATGCCGAGCTTTCGCTATCGTGGTGAGTTCGGTATAAAAAATATAAGCTATTTGCTCACTCACTCCAGTATCTCTGACAGAATCTCACTTCATCTGGCAGAGTACGTGTCTATCTTCCACATTACGCTTGTTCTAATATTGTGTTCCGCCTGCGAGTCTTATGAGCAGTACATTAGGTAGATTTTCAGTAATTACGATCCAAGCACCGAGATAAGAGATAAGTACCGGAGTCGTATGATACCGGCTGAAGCCATTGTGGTGCACTGCGTCAGTCAGTAGCGGCCCTGAGAGATTACACCAACGTTGATTACACCATGTCATTATTCTTATATATATGCGATAGGTCGCCAAGCGAGCATGCTAATCACCTGATGGTAAGCAACTAGTACTGCTCATGATAGCCGCCACGGGCCCGAGTCCATTCCAAAAAATGTTTTTGTCGCCAGACTGTAGGTATACTCATATAAAAAACACGCAACAACAGTACCTACGCAAGTGCCTTATTTAATCTGGTAAAAATTCAATATTCAATCGACCATATCTATGTATTGGTTATTCAGCCCTGCAACACGCAAGCTTATTACAAAACAAATTGCAGAGACAGATAACATCCCATTCGTAAATTATTACCCGACTGACCCTAAATGCACATAATATGTTGGTCATAACACATTATGTGCATTTAGGACATCAATTTCGTCGTGCTATTATATGTAGGTACATTGCTTCTTTGCCCACCTCAGGTATGTAGGTTTAGTCTGTTGTAGGTCCTTGCACTTGTAATGGCTACCAAAAAAATCATATCTACTTACTTACCTACCTGCTTTACTTAATCCACGTAAGTACACGGCACAGATTGGTATTAAAAACACGTTCAGCCTCAATTTAGTAGGTATATAAATAATTGCTTATTGTAGGTATATTAAACCACTGGCCTGGTGCGTATGAGATTATGAGTCTTGCGTATTATGAAAGGCAAAAGGTTGCGTAGAGTGAAGCAAAAGATTACAAGCGCCATCTATCGACGAATAGCAGAATTCTATATGAAATATTATATTAATTATAACTGTGAGTTTTCCTTTTATCTACAGTGTTCATTATTAAAAATAGTACTTCTTAAAGCATTTCCCAACTTAACGCATTCCCGTCACAGCGAGACGTCAACGAAAATATTTGTAGAACAACAATAAGTATAGATATTAGATACCTACGGTAAGTACCGACGCTACTGCATGGGAACAAATTCGAATAATCGTAGTGCAGCAGCTGGTCGTTCAGCCAATCAATCATCCATGTAGTATTGTAGTATTTGTGTTTTTTATTTTGGCACCTAGGAACGTATCCCCTATAACTCATATAAATAACCATTCTGTATTCACGGGTTCCGTATTCGCGGCACACCCCGCACCCATTGCTTCGAGCTGGCGCTGCGCACGGGCCGCGATAGATCTTGACTTGTACGGTGTACCGCAACGGATTCTTAACGCCTTACATATTGTTTATAGCAAGTGCAAGCTGCGCACTACGTTGCTGAAAGTTTTGTTTTGCATTTGTTAGAAGATAATACCTAGTTTGGATATTGCGAACAAATTGTGAAGTACCTCTCCTTCTGCTATATGGAGAGACGAAAAATGAATGTCTTTGTGTATATATTGTTTTAAATTTTCGTTTAGGTAAGTACATACCTACATAAAAGTAAAATACATAACTATAAATACAGCCGTTTGATTCACTTGATTGTTTAAGTGATAAAGAATGATATTGTACAGCGTTAAGAAAAATATGAGCTGCATTTTATTCAGACATTTATATTATATTCTTTGTTTTCCCACTAACTTTGGAACGAAGTGTGAATGCTATATTTTAAAAAGTTATTTTAGAAAGTTAATGCTATATCGGATGCTTCATCACTTTGATAAACATGCCATCTTCCATCACCAACAATACGGTTTCACTTAAGGTCGTTGTACAACTGACGCCGGTGTCATGTTGATAAAGGAAGTACTCGGTGCTTGGGCGGAAGCACAGGGTGCTTTTGGTGTCTTTTGCGACCTCTCAAAAGTGTTCGATTGCGTTGATCATGAAACACTCTTGCTGAAATTAGATCATTACTGGATTAGACATACTGCACTCCGTCTACTAAAATCATATTTAGAGGATAGGCAGCTGAGAGTTCATGTAGGTGGTTATAACTCACAGGGCTCTCAGATAAGAATGGCCGTTCCACAGGGTTCAATATTGGGTCCGTTTGTCTTTTTAGTGTATTTTAATGACTCGTCATTTCTATTTAAAACTCAGCCAAGTATGGTGCTGTTTGCTGATGATACATCATTAATTTTTAAAATAGGTCGACGTCCTAATAATTTTGACGAAGTAAACAGCTCCATTCATCAAGTTCATAATTGGTTTACAGTCAATAATTTAGCACTTAACGAGAAAAAAACGTACACAGTAATGATTGTAGCGTAATTTTAAATGGGCAAAAGTTATAATTTGTCAACGAGACAGTGTTTCTAGGTATCACACTAGACAATAAACTTCAATGAAGTTCCCACATAAAGACGCTTTCGGGGAGACTGAGCTCTGCTGTTTTTGAAGTTAGACAGATACGACAGCTCGTGAACACAGCAAGGCTTGTCTATTTTAGCTATTTTCACAGCATTATGTCGTACGGAATTTTGCTGAGGGGTCGAGCTGCGGAAGTAGAATCAATATGTATTCTACAAAAGCGGGCTATCCGAGCGGTATATAACTTGCCCCGTCGCGAATCTCTGAGAGAACTATTTAAAACGATAAATATCCTGACGGTGCCTTGTCAGTTTATATATGAAAATATTATGTATGTAAGGAAAAATTTGCAATTATTTGAAAAAAGAAGCGATAGACATAATTTTAATACAAGAGGCAAAGATAGGCTGGCTGTGCCACGATTCCGTCTGTCCAAAGTACAGAAATCCTTTATGGGGTTCTGTGTAAATTGTTATAATAAAATTCCAAGTACTGTATTGAATCTTAACGAACGAAAATTTAAAACTTACATTAAACGCGAATTGTGTAGACTACAAACTTTCAGATTATATTGACGATAAGAATGCCTGGCAGCGTGTTGATTCGGCTCCACTGGACAATACTCAAATATAGTCAGCAGTTAGGTAAAATTCTCAAAAATAATGCATCCTTCATTTATATATCCAAAAAGTTTATATAGAAGCACTCTTAAAGATTGTGAGTACGCATATGTGAGCGCCATGTTCGAGACGACGAAGGAGTAAAATTTTATGATAGGTCTCCTCATTTGTTCTTTTTAACAACTTGTCTCTGCATTGTTCTCACATAAGGGTACAATAATGTATACTATAAATATTATATTATTGAAATTGTAAAACATTTTTTTAAAAAAAGAGTAATGAATGGAGTTTGTTGCTCGTTCTTCTCCATTCGAATCTACAATTTGGAATGAGCACCTATAGTCAGAATTTTAATTCGATTCCTGATTTGACATGACCTATTGTCATTTTGTGAAATAATGATACCACATATAACAGTGTAGTGATGAA